GTTGTTGTTGTTAAGTGTTGTTGAGTCGACTCTGACCCATAGCGACCCTGTATAATGTTTCCAAGAAACAACTGATGAGCTTGAACCACCGACCTTGCAGTTCAAACAGCTTTGCAGTCTGGTGCATTAACCCACAGTGCCACACTAGGACTCCTTGGAAACTCTAGGGAGTAGTTATATGCTACCCTATGGGGTCGTTGTGACTTGGGATCGACTTGATGGCAGTGGTTTGATTTGGGTGGGTAAAGAAATATTCAGTAGAACCCAAGATTCCCTCCCTGATGATCCTCATTTTCTGGAAACAAGTCCTGAATCTAGGCACATTTAAAAATAATCTTTTTTCTCAACTTACCCTCTTACCATGTACTCGGGAACAATAGTGGAATATCCAATCAGATGATCTTCCATATTAATTAGTTTTCTGCTACTGTCAGAGAATGGCATAATGAAGAATTAAAAAATTTGCTTAATTAAAATTCTACTTCCTTTCCTCCTCCAAAACAGAGACCATGTAAATGAAGTTAAAAAAAAAATCTGTGTTGACATTCTTTTCCTAGAAGGCTTAAGAAATTACTCACCATTACCAAAGAACCTCACATTTTGAAACCAGATCCAATTATATTTCAGGTGGCCAGAAATCAATTCAGAGTAAGTGTAATATGGCTTTATTTTCATTGTTTCTTACTTGAATGAGTCAATATAATAGAGGCATAAACATTAAATAATAACATAGAAGGAAAGTTTGCCCAGAGAACTTAAAAAAGGCACTTTGTTGTTCATGTTAAGTGCCGTGGAGTCAGTTCCGACTCATAACGTCCCTGTATGGGTTTTCCAAGGAGTGGCTGGTGAGTTTGAACCACTGACTTTGTGGTTCAATGCTTTATCCCACACCAGCACAGTGAGTCTTAAAAAGGAAGTAGGAGTTGGTTCCGACTCATAGCAACCCTGTGTAGGGTTTCCAAGACTAAATCTTTATGGGAGCAGAAAGCCCCATCTTTCTCCCGGGGAATGGCTGGTAGTTTTAAATTGCTGACCTTGAGGTTAGCTGCTCAACTCGTAACCACTAAGCTTCCAGAGCTCATTAGTGATAAGTAGAATGGTCATAATTAAAAATCTTTTCAGGAAAGCCATATTGTTTCATGATAAGATTAAAAACCACATTACTACACGGTAGCCTGCAGCATTCAACACATTCAGCTGGCATTAAACTGGTGAAATAAGTGAATGGGTTTTAATTCTAGTATGCTTGGAAAAACTGAATCGCAATGCATTTCATCTTTTTGGATACAAAATTGGAATGCACTTAAGTATTAAAAATGTATTCTTGTTTTCTACGGTTTGCCAGTAACTTCAGTGTACTCTGAGCTCTTGTTATACATACTGAAAACGTACAACACAACTTTATCCCCTAACAGTAGGTACTACTGTTGTTGTTTAGTGCCGCCGGCGAGTCAATTCCAACTCAGAGAGACCCCGTATAGCCTTTCCCAGGCACGTAAACCAAACGTGCAGTTCAACCTGACCTTGCGGTCCAGTGCTTATCCTACAGTGCCACATAGTGTTGTCATTTTGCTGGTGAGGAAGTGAAAGGTCAAAGAGGTCAAATTGCTTGCCCAAGTCAAGGTTTATAGTCAGCCCATCTGGCTTCCAGGCCTGCTCTGTGAAACCTAACAGCATTGCTTCCTTCTGGGAAAGCACTTTTCCATGCCCTCTAACTTTTCACTCCTAATTTCAGAGTTTTGACTTCCCACATACAACAGTAAGCTGTTTCAGAAGGTACACATCTAGTTTTTTTTAATAGATTTTATTTTCTAGGCCAAGTTACAGAAAAACTGAGCAGAAAGTACAGAGTTCCTAACTATTCTCTTTCCCCTGTACACAGTTTCCACTATTAACTTCCTACACACTTGTTAGAATCGATAAATTGTTATTCACTGAAGTCTATAATTTATGGGAAAAAAATGGTGTCTATAATGATGAAACGTGCATAAAGTCATTATGAGTCAGAACTGACCCGAGGGCACCTAACAACAACAACATAATTTCCTGAAAGGTCAGCAGTACAAACCCACCAGCCACTCCTCGGAAACCCTGTACAGGGCTGCTAATGAGTCAGAACTGAGTGGTGGTCGTTATGTGCCGTGAAGTCACTTCCGACTTATGGTGACCCTGTATAGGCTATGTTTCTGAGACTGTAAATCTTTATGGGAGCAGAAAGCCTCATCTTTCTCCCGTGAAACTGCTGGTAGTCTCAAACTAGCTGACCTTGAGGTTAGTAGCCCAACTCGTAACCACTGCGCTACCAGAACTCCTTCAGAACTGACTAGAGGACACTTAACAACAACAGTGTTTACGTCATGCTTCTCTCCTTGTGTTGTACAATTCTGTGCCTTTTGGCGAATGCGTGATGTCATGAACCCGCCATTACAGGATCAGACAGGTTAGGCACACAGGCCATCCTGAGTCTTCCCTCTGCCCCCCACTGCTCCCCACTTCCTAGTCACATGGCTTGGCTTTGCCAAAATTCTGGAGACCTACAGTAAAGGAACTCTGGTCATAGTGGTTACAAATCGGGCTGCCGACCTAAGCAGTCAAAACTACCAGCTGTTCCGCGGGACAAAGATGAGGCTTTTTGCTCCTGTAAAGATTTACAGCCTCGGAAACCCTGTGCAGGTTCGCTATGAATCGGAACCGACTCCACGGCACATAACAATAACAACAGTATGTAGCTTTATCGGATTGGCTTGTTGCCCTTCACAGTATACATTCAAAGGCCCTCCATATGATGTGGCCCTGGAGGATCAACATGGACTGTAAACCACAAGGTCAGCCGTTCAAACCCACCAGCTGCTCCTCAGAAACCCTACACAGGGTTGCTATGAGTTGGAATCTACTCGATGGTACTTAACAACAACAACAACAACAATATGCCTTTTTATAGGAGCTTTGATAGTGTGTTGGATTGCAAGCTGGGCTGCTAACCACAAAATCAGTAGTTAAAATCTACCAGTTGCTCCGCAGGAGAAAGATGAGGCTTTCTGCTCCTGTAAAGATTTACAGACTCGGAAACCCTGTACAGGGTCGCTGTGAGTCGGAACCAGCTCAGTGGCACACAATCACCACCATGTCTTTGTATAGACTAATAGTTTCTGCATTTTGACTACTGAATTGTATTCCATTGCATGAATAGACCACAGCTTGTTTATCCTTTTGCCCATTGGAGGACATCTTGGTTGCTTTTATTTTTTGGCAAAGTATTAAGAGAGCTGCTTTACTTATTCATGTGCAGGTTTTGTGTGGACATAAGTTTTCACCTCGTTTGGGTAAGTACCTAAGTGTATGATTACTAGATCATGGTAAGACTATGCTAATCTTTTTTTTTTTTTTTTCCATATTAAACTGTCAACACTGTTATCCAAGAGATTCTGTATAATTTGAAGTTTTGAAGGCCAAAATGTGCCAATTCATAAGCTATCTAGTTCAATTATGTCAAGTTAATAAAGTCATTTTGATTTAACTAGTTTGCTAAACAGCCGTTGCATGCTCCATCCCTCCTGGGCTTCCAGTCTTTCTGCTCCACATTGGTGTCAGATTTAGAGACTAAGATAAGTCAGACTTTGGACTTTCAGAGTTCTTCGGGCCTACTAGCTGGTCACTTTTACTTAATCATTGTATGTCTTCTGAGACTCTTCTGTTTTATAAAACAGCATAATACTAGATGCCTAACTCAGCAGTTGTAGGAATCAAATAAGGTAAAACCCACAGAAATATTTAGTCAGAATGAAACACATAATATTTTACTCTCCTCCTCTACCCATCAATCCCATAAAATGCACACACAATCTATTCCTACTTCAGTTCATTGCTTAATACCAAAGGAGCTTTCTTTCCATATAGTTCAGGATCTCAGCTTATCAGGGGCCAGCTGGATCTCATGTAGATGAAAGGACCATCCAAGTGGACGGTCTTTAGTAGCTAGAGAAGGGCTTCCCAGCAGTGGAGGCTGGCATCCATTTTTCTTTGCCTACAGGTAGCTTGTTGTTTTCATGAACAGTTTACAGAAGCTCCCAAGTGGGGCAAATGAGGGGAGGGGCACAAAATTTAAGGAGGCACTCGCTCTATGAGTTGTGCAAGATCTCAAAACCAATACTTTCTTCTTCTCTATCCAATATAGCGGAGAGACGAGGCTTTCCAGCCTCAGGAACTCTATGAAGGGTTGCTCTGAGTTGGAACTGACTCACTGGCCGCAGTGTGGGTTTGGGATTGCTATATCATGAAAAAGGCTTTGCTAAAAGAAAAAATAAATTATAAAGCAGAAGGGAGAAGTCAACTTATCCTGGTCCATGTGTACTCAACTCCTTTGTAATATGTAGTGGGTTCCCAGCTGGACAGTTTGTGCTCTGCTGCTGGTGGTGGTTATGTGCTACGGAGTTGGTTCCGATTCATAGCAACCCTGTACAGGATTTCCGGGGCTGTTCTCCCACGGAACAGCTGGTAGTTTCGAACTGCTGGCCTTAAGGTTTGCAGCCCGATTCGTAGCCACTATACTACCAGAGCTACCCTAAAACCAACTTGATGACACCAACTTCCCTAAATATCGGCTCCTTGAACCCACTCAGAGATGCTGTACAGGAAGAATGGCCTTGCGATTTGCTTCAGTAGCGATTAGAGGCAAGAAAACCCTATGGAGCAGTTCTATGCTGTTACACATCCTTGAGTCAGAGTCAATAGCAACTGGTTTGGTTGAAGTTAACAAAACAAACATGCTGGATTAAGTGCCCATTCGTCATGGATTCCTGATATGGTGAAGAGGGGAGTGCAGTACCCACATATCCAAAGCTAGGAGGTTATTCAGGGTATTTTGTTGTTCTTGTTTTTACCAATCCTATCCTTCAGCTTCCAAATCTGGGGTGTTGTTAAATCCCAGATCACTTCTGCATCTACCCCACCAGGGCCCAGTTGCTCAAAATTCATCTTGGAGCAGGAGGGGCACACAGACCATGTCAGGGAATGCGACCAAGACCCTGGAGAGAGGTGAGTCTTCCCAATGAGGGGGAAAGGACCGGCAGCCTGGGGACACCCCGTAATTGGGGATGTGGACTCAAGATGGGGCTCAACATGCAGGAGGGGAGATTAGGAGGGTGCCCATGCACAAAAGCTGTGCAAAGGGAAATGGTCTCTGGGACTCAGTGGAGTAGCCCAGTTCTCATGGGGGTCCCAGGAAGTGAGGGATCTTTCCTCCCCACCAAGTTAATCTTCCTTCCCCGATTGCAGGATGCGCCCCCCCAGGGCCGGTCCCTGAGGGCACGATCCGCCTCTACAGCATGAGGTTCTGCCCCTACTCCCACAGAACCCGCCTCATCCTTCAGGCCAAAGGAATCAAGTGAGAAACGGAAGTCCCTCAGGTTGTGTGTGTGTGTGCGCTTGAGCGCGTGTGTTTAAAATCTGGGGATTTCTCCCTGGGCAAAGGGCAGATTTCTTTAGCCAGCCATCCTGAAATGCAGAGTTCCTTGGGTTTGTGCACAAAACTTTTAGAACTCAGAGTTAAATCAATGATGGTTCTGTGAGCGACTTCCCTCCCATACTGTTTGTGAAGGATGGACACAGAGAAACTATTGGGCTGCTTACGGGACAGCCCCACTGGCTGTAGCCCCAGGCATGTTCAAGTCAAGCCCCTTCTCCTCCTTGTTTGCACTACCCCCCAGCCAACATTTTCTTAGTTGTATATCTGTCTTCCTCTACACTCACCCTACCCCCACCCCCCACCCCCAGCTAAAATGTAAGCTCTTGAGAGTACAGACTTTGTTTATATTACTCATGGCCTAGGAGCAAGCCTGGCATATAGTAGGTGCTCAATAAGTCTTGAATAAATGAGCACATAGTTCTAAACAATGAAATAGAAGGGACTGCTCTCAAGAGGCAGCTTCACGCTTCTGCTCTGTCTGATCAATGAGTACATTTCCTTCCAGAAAGAAGTTTACATGTCTAGCTCCTACCTATGTTTGGATTTGGAAGGTAGAAGAGGTTTTCTGGAATGTGGACTATGTCATGCCACTGGCCTCAAAGAGAAAGTTTTAAGAACATGTTGCTCTAGGCTTCTGATTCTTGTCCATCATCACAGGGAGATTTCAAAGTCTGATACCCATGTCAGAGAAATACGCTGTTGTTAAGTACTGTTCCAACCATAGCAAACCTGTGTAGGGTTTCCAGGGAGTGGCTGGTGGCGGAGTGCTTACCCACTAGCGCCATACCAGGACTACACAGAGAAATCTAGAGACATTTAAAATAACGTTATGTAATCCAGCCTTGAGCAAATATGGCCTACATTTCCAGATTCTTCCTTTTGGCTCAAATCTCATTGGCCCTCAGGTTATTCGTTTTTTTGAGAGAAGTAACAAAAACTTGGTGTCTTGCCCATGGTGATAAATTTGGCAGCTTGGAATTGATGTAAAATTTTATTTAAGACAGGGTTTCTCACAACTGGCAACACTGATATTGTAGGCCAGATAAATCTTTGTTAGGAAGGGGCAGGACTGTCCTATGAATTGTTGGTCATTTAACAACAACCCTGGTCTCCTGCACTAGATAGCAGAAGAACCCCGACTCTCAGCTGTGTCAGCCCAAACTGCTCCAGATATTACACTGAGGAAGAGGGGCAAAATCACTCTTGATTGAGAACCACTGCTTTAGAGTTTGAGCTCCCCTAGACTCAGCAGGACTCCTGGTGTGGTGCTGTAGGATCAGTCCAGGATGGTTAACCACAAGGTTGGCAGTTCAAACCCACCAGCTGCTCCTCAGAAATCCTACACAGAGTCACTATGAGTTGGAACTGACTCAACTGCACATAACAACAGCAACAACAGACTTAGCAAAGGATGTACCCATTTGTTTCCTTTAATCTTTTTAAACATATGGGAGTACCCCTGGTAAGTTTATAGGTTTGACTCATTAATAATAATTAATGAGAAGAATAAGGAAGTTGTTGCATACTTATGTACTAGACATGGTCCTAAACATTCTATCCATATTCATTTATTTGATTCTTAAAATGACAAGAGCTAGGAGCAATTATGTCCTCCATTTTACAGTTAAGGAGACTGAGCACAGAGAGGTGAAGCAATTTGCTCAAGGTCAAATTCCAAGAAACAAGCCCGAATAGTTCTATGCACAGCTAGACTGCCCCAACCCCAGGCAGTCTGATGCCAGACCCATGTGCTTAACTGCTAATACGTGCCCTGCTCTATTGTCACCTGTTAATAGCAAATTTGTATTTTCAAGTGTAAAAATGTATTGAGCTCTGTAGTGCCGTGCTTATGTATGTGAGTTCAGAGTCAGACCCCCGGGACTCTGCTCATGCTCTGCTCCTTCCTAGTGGGTGACATTGGACATAAGAGCCAACCTCCTGGCGCCTTGTTTCCTGTTCAGGAAACCTACCTTGCAGGGGCACAGTGAGCGCTAACAGGATAAGGTACCAGGTACCTATTACTGCAGGAACAAAGACAAGTATGTTGTTATGTATTCTTCTTCATGCAAAAAGCAAAATGCAAACTTTATAAATGGATAGCTACTGCTTCCAAGGCAAGCATCTGCCTGCATAAGCCTCTCACCTTGTTCTGTTTTATTGTCCCTTTGCTTTTTAAGATACCAAGTTGTCAACATTAATCTGAGAAACAAGCCTGAATGGTTCTATACTAAGCACCCCTTCGGTCAAATACCCGTCCTGGAGAACAGCCAGTGTCAGCTGATCTATGAATCGGTCATCGCTTGTGAGTACCTGGATGACGCTTATCCGGGGAAAAAGCTGTTTCCATGTGACCCTTATGAGCGAGCGCGTCAGAAGATGTTATTGGAGCTGTTCTGTAAGGTAATCCATGCACACTCTATTTTACTTTGTATATCTTTCTTTCCCAAACTTTAACCCATGTGTACAACCACGTCACTGGTGGAGTTGCTTTGTTTTAATATCCATGTGCATCTCAGGAGGAGAACCTGTGTGGAATTATGGGTGGGTTGTCATCCCTGATATTAAAGGGTCACACTTCAATGGATAAGTGCATTTCATTTCACCTACATTTCAACTAGCAGTCTGGGGAGGAAGAGTTAGGATGTGGTTATGACCATGTGACTTGGAAGAACTTGAATGGTGATGCTTTAAAAGGAGTATTTCTCAGACTTCAAGTAGAAATTATTGAGACCTGAAGATTACACATGCAAGGGAATCACCCTTTATGTCTAGGAAACGTGAAGACTAGAGAGAGGGGGTGCCTGTAGACAGCGGGAGACAAAGGGATGGAGAAATGTTAAGATAGCTCCCTCTGAAAAGAAAGAAAATCGACTCAATGATTTGAATAGCTGAGCTATATTGATCACTTATCACATGCCAAACACTGTTCTAATTTCTTTATATAGGTAAGCTCATTGAATCATTACAACTACCCTTTAACTACCAGGTGGCCTTGGTAACATAGTAGATTCTAAGCTGGGCCACTAACTGAAAGGTCAGCAGTTCAAATCCACCAGTCACTTTGTGGGAGAATGATGAGGCTTTCTGCTCCCATAAATATTTACAGCCTCAGAAACCCTATACAGGGTCACTATGAGTCAGAACCGACTCGGTGGCACACAGCCACCACCACTGTTAGTGTATCCATTCTTCAGATGAGAACACTGAGGCTTAGGTTAGATGTTCATTTTAAGAGGATAACCTGTGTGGAATTATGGGTGGTTTGTCATCTCTGATAGTAAAGGATCATATTTTAATGGATAAGTGCATTTCATTTCATTACATTGATTGTGCAGCATGGAAGCAGCTGACTAAAAGGGGCACTGGAGAACCAGGTTGCTACAAGGAGATAAACTAGTGCCTGGCAAGGGGAACTGGGGAGTTTGCCCATGGGTGTTGGCCTGCTGTGTTGGAGTTTTGAAGCTCTGGCAACAGGCAAATGGAGTCCCCTCAATCTTCTCCACTAAAAACCTGTGTCCTCTGATTAGGTCCCATATTTGACCAAGGAGTGTCTGATAGCATTACGAAACAGGAGAGATTGCTCAGACCTGAAGGCGGCCCTACGTCAGGAATTCTGCAACCTGGAAGAGGTACAAAGAGGGCCCCTCTCCTGGTCAGATGGCCCTGGCACCTCCGTTTTCTTTGGATTATTGTTTATGCTAGATTGGATAAGGCCAGCCTCTAGTTTCCTGACTTCAGCTTGTGTTTGCTTACCCACCACTAACCTGCTCTGGAACTATTCTTGAGTATCTGGCACCAGTTGGTGAGGACTTGGGATGAATCACTTCCTTTCCTGGGGTCACCACATTGCCTAAGTGTTTCTGTGGGGCTTCTGCTTCTGCGGCCAGTGTCTGCATTGGTAGGGGGTTATGCTTGACTTGACTACTGTAAATGTATCTTCTAATGGTTATTGTCTCACACAAAAAGACCAGGGGGAGGCAGTTCAGGGCTATTTTGATGGCTTCTTCATGAAATTACCAGGATCCCAGCTCTTTTTCTCTGCTCATTCATCCTTAGTGCAAGGTTTTCAAATATATATTAAAGGTAACAAGAAAACTGCTGGAACTCCAGCCATCACATCCAATTCCAGGATGCAGAAAAGAGAATGGGAAGGAGAAAATGGCAAAAGGCCATGCCCCTTTAAAGGACTTTCCCAGAAGTTCTACTGAGTGACTGAGGGATCGTATCTCATTGGACAGAAGTCAGCTGTAGGTCCTAACTAGCTAGTCAGGAGACTGCGAAATGATGGCATTTTTTCAGTCGAGGACATCCTGGATAAAATCAGGGCTCTGCAGTAAAGGCAAAAGGGAAAGTGCGGTGGGTGGGCAAGGAGCAAGCTCTGCCAGTAGGTCGTTTACTAGCCTGGCTATAATGGCTAGGAAATTTATCCTTTACTTCAGAATAATCTGGAAAACAGTTCGTTGACTTATCTTTGCTTCAGAAACTGATCATTTCGTTTTCTGGTTGCATTGCCCTCTGTTGCAGTCAAGGAGTCCTATTTTTAATCCCTTAATGGAAGGCTGTTTTATCAGTGCCTTCTATTTGACCGTAATCAAGTAGAAGCAGATGAAATCAATTAACACTTCCAATTGCCTGTGTTAGATTTGTACTGTTGCAGTATTTATGGATGATGCATAGTCATGTGTAGGAAATGTTGACCTTTTGTCCTAGGCTGCAGGCTATGACCTTCAGCCTGTGGTGGGCAGTGTTGGGAAGTGGAGTCTGTGCTCTTGGACACTTTTTGTTGTTAGGTGCCATTGAATTGGTACCAACTCATAGCGACCCTATGTACAACAGAACGAAACACTGCCTGGTCCTGTGCCAACCTCACAATCAATGCTACGCTTGAGCCCATTGCTGCTGCCACTGTGCCAATCCATCTTGTTGGGAGTCTTCCTCTGTTTTCCAAACCGTTCACTTTACCAAACAAGCTATCCTTCTCCAGTGACTGGACCCGTCTGATAATATATCCGAAGTACGTGAGACAAAGTCTGGCCATCCTGGCTTCCAAGGAGCATTTTGGTTGTATTTCTTCCAGTACAGATTTGTTGTTTTTATTTCTTCTCAAAGGGAGCTATCTTAACATTCTGGTTTCCAAGGAGCATTCTGACTGTACTTCTTCCAACACAAACTTGCTTATTCTTTTTGGCAGCCCATGGTACTTTTAGTCTTGTCCCCCACAACACCATAACTCAAATGTATCAATTCTTCCAGGGTCTTGCGTATTCACTGTCCAACTTTCACATACTTATGAAGTTATTGAAAATACCATGGCTTGGGCAGGCACACCTTGGTCCTCAAACTGTTATCTTTGCTCTTGAATACTTTCAAGAGGTCTTGTGCAGCAGATTTGTAGTTAGATTTCATGGTTGCTGCTTTCATGAGTGCCGATGGTTGATCTCAGCAAAACGAAGTCTTTGACAACTTCAATCTTTTCTCCTTTTATAAGGATATTGTTTATTGGTCCAGTGGTGAGGATTTTTGTTTTCTTTACATTGAGGTACAACCCATACCGAAGGCTGTGGTCTTTGATCTTCATCAGTAAGTATTCTAAGTCCTCTTCACTTTCAGCAAGCAAGGATGTATCATCTGCATATCACAGGTTGTTAATGAATCTTCCTCCAATCCTGATGCCACATTTTTCGTGCCTTTTCCAGATTCCAGAACCTTGGGTGATGTGAGCTCAGGACCTCTCTCTGGGCCTAACAATGTTTATAAAACAAGGCAGTGTTTTGAAATGTGTGTTCTTCAGAGCTGCGTGGTTCTGCAGAGGGACCACCCAGTTCTGTGGGTGGTTCCAGATTCACCCAGAGCAGCCCTGCCCTTATCCACAATGCTTAGCAAAGCATCTAATAAGCTCACATTTGTGAGGTATGGGAGGGTGGAGCTGATGCTCTAAAAATAAGTTTGAAAATTCCTGAAAGAAAAGACTTTTCAAGGTTTTTATTCTGAAGGTAAGTTGAACAGAAGGCATAATTCCTGAGTACCTTCTTACTAATCATTGTTGGGTGAAGGAAATGAGCTAGGAAACAAAATCCTTTGAATTCAAAACCCACTCCCATCCAGTTGATTCGGCCTCATAGTGACCTAGAGGACAGAGAACTGCTCCTTAGTTTTTCTGTGACGGTAAAGCTTGTAGAAGCCTCATCTTTCTCTAAAGGAGTGGCTGGGGGGTTCAAACCACCAGTCATTCTTTTAGCAGCCCATTACTTAACCCTGTGTGACATCAGGACTCTTTTGAGCTGGGCACTTTGTTTTGTTGTTGTTAAGTGCCATCAAGTCAGTTCCGATTCATAGCGAACCTGTATAGGATTTCCAAGGAGCAGCTGCTGAGCTTGAACCAGCGACCTTGTGGTTCAAATTGACTGGGTACTAGGGATACAAAATTAAAGACCTTCAGGGGACTCAATTGGCCAGCTCCAGAATTTCACTTTATCTTTAGGAGCTGAGGGTTAACCAGCCCAGATTTAGGTCGTTTTCACTGTTGCTGTTCAGGAGTCATTGAATATTGAGTTTTGTCTGAAGTGGTCTCTGTTCAGTAAAATTGTAGCCAGGATCGATCATATCAGAGTCTGAAAACACTCCCAGTGACCTTGAATTAATGAATTCATTTCTCCATATATCAGTATTTTCACTTTTGGAGATCCTAGTGAAAATGAACCCAATTGAAATAGAGTTGGAATCTTTCTACTCAAGATTGTCCCCTGACTTGCGAATGACTCTGGTTGACTTTATATAATCACAGTTTAGTGTGAGCTGAAAATACACAAATTAACTATACTTGGGCTTTTGAAGTGACAAGATTTCAATGTAGAGTCTTGTGCCATGTTATCCCCAAGTAAACAGCTCTGTTTACCTTTTGGGTCTTGAATGCCGATGCAATCTTCTTTTGAAATAAATGTCCTTATCTGACTGTATAATTTAAATATATATATATATATATATATATATATGGTCTAATCAAAAATAAAAATTCATTTTGCTTGTTATATAACCACGTGTTTTGTACTATATTTGAAATTCCTTTTAGTATGTTTCTGCTGTTCTTATTATCAAACCAATGGCCTCCCTGCCCAGTTGTTTTCTTGTCATGACCTTTGGTATGTATTTTAAAACGGTGTTTGTTTGTTTTTTTTTTTAATTGTCCTTATTTAAGCACACTTTATATCTTCAAACAGATTCCTAGCCTTTTCTAAATGATTAATCAAAGCAGTTCACATTTTTTTTACGGTTTATTTTCTTTTTATCCTGTTACTGAATTTCCTGTTTTAAAATAGCACTCAGACCCAGCTTTGTTTGATCTTCCTGGATTTGAATGTGGTAGAATCTTTTTTTGTGCCACTTTATTGCCAGTACCTTCATTCAAAATGTTTTCATTGCGGAAGTAGTTAAATCAAGTCCAAACATAACCAAAGGCTGAATGTGGCCAGATTTCTTTGATGTTTTAGAGTTTTGCTTTCAGCTTTCTTGCACTTATTATTTGTTTATTTCTCTTTTTTTAATCCCAGTTTTATGTGTTTATTTTTTTACTGTGGTAATCAGTTCTTTCTTATTTGTTAGTTGCTGTAGAGTCTGCTCTGATTCATGGCAATGCCATTAAGTGACATGGAGTTGGTTCCGACTCATAGCAAGTCTGTGTAGGGTTTCCGAGGAGTGGCTGGTGAGCTTGAACTACTGACCTTGCAGTTGAAACCCATCTTGCAGTCCAGCACATTAACCCACAGTGCCACACCAGAACTCCAACACCATGTCTATAAAATTGTCATCCGTCCTGTGTCATTGCAACAACTAGAGTTTATTGCTGCGGCTGTAGTGTATTTTGAATGCTTCCCAATTTAGATGGCTTATCTTCCGGTGCTTTATTGGGCAGTATTCTGTTATTCATAGGGTTATTTCTGTTATTCATAGGGTTATAGGGTTAATTCACTGGCTAATTTCCGGAAATACAATGTCAGACCTTTCTTCCGATCTCTCTGAGTCGGGAAGCTCTACTGATACCTGTCCACCTGGATAGTCCTGCTGATATTTGAAATACCTGTGGCATAGCATACCTGTGGCATAGCCACCACAGTACAACAAAGGGACAGATGTTGTGTGGGAGAAGGGAGAAGGGGACAGTATTGAGTGTATGTGTGTGTGTGTGTGTGTGTATAAACTGGTTCTACCTTCTGGCTCCTGCTACTACCAATCATTAGCAGAACTCACTAAAGGGTAGCATGGATGATGGGAGAACATCACTATCCCGGAAATAGCATTGATGAGGTGAAAGCCTGCCCAGAAATCAAGGCCTTCACTTCTGGTGGCCAAGGGACACATTCTGCTTTCACTCCTTGTCATTCCCTGATTGCACAGGGGGACTGTAGATTTCCATGCAGTTCCACATCCTCAAATCTGATGGCATGCTGTCTGCATAGCAGTTTGTATGGGTCACGTTTGCATAAATGGTGTGTGCATCACACAGAAACATCTGCAGGGAAATACTTTCTTGATTCTAAATTATATCCATAATCTCAATTATTAATCTGCTCTTTTCCTCTCCAAAAAAAGAGAAAGAAATACATTTTAACCCAATTAGATTATATTCCCTGGC